GAAGCTGAGAAACCCGATTTTAGTCATTCCTCTCCTAAGCACTTGATTTTGTTTTCAAGTATGTAAATGTGTTCCTTGTTTTTTGCTTGTTTTGTGATCTCATAGGTATATGTCATCGGTATTGTTTATATAGACAGGCAGTATTTGTTCAGATGTACATGCATACATTCTTGCATCTCGGACCCCCCTTATGGCATTATTCTCTTTTTTTATGAATATAGTGTTTGTCTATTGTTTTAGTTCATCTCCTTGAATCTTTGCTGTGAGTTAAAGGCTTTATCCTCATCCTTAGGAGAGTTTGCTCAACCTTTAAAATACATGTATATGCCTTGTTGCCTTTAAAAAGTGCATCAGCAGTCTAATTGTGGTTTGATTTCATTTGATTAGTGTGTGGGGTGCACAGGGAATACTGCGCCTTCATTCCAACACGTTTACACTTGTTTCTTTTTTATTCTACTTTTGAAAATGTGTTTCATGGCTTAGTAAATGCATGGTTTTTTAAATAATTTCTGGAAAGTTCTCAACAATTACAATCTTTCTGTTTTTTTTCCTCATAGTCCAGCTACTCATATTTTGTACCTCGTAATTCTGTTTTTCATAACTTATAACAGCTCTTTAATATTTTATGTCCTTTTGTACTTCATTTGAGGACATCTCATCAGGTATATGTCTTAGTTCATTCTCTCCAGCTATGTTTAATCTGCCTTCTGCTTTTTCATTGAGTTTTTTATTTTGTATCTTTCTTTGTAAAAGGTTTATTTACTTTCTAGTCTTTCTTCTCCCTAATTAAGTCATTTGTTGTTTGCTCAAACTGTGATTATATCTACTACTTCTTTAAGTATAATTTCTGTTAAATCAGAATTCACTTTTTGTGTAAGGCATTATAAATATTCACATCTGAACTACACATCACACTGACTGTGTCATCTCTACTGTGCACCTTTTTGTTTTCCTAAAATCCAGTGTTCTAGGAGTTGTTTTTTTCTTTTCCTAGTGTTTGTAGCACTTGCTACTAATCCTCAGTAATTCTATAAGAATTAAACATTCTTCTTAGAAATTATTTGTGGAATCCAAATTAGATCATGCCCCTAGCCTGCTCAAAATTCTCCCATGAACCCCAATTTCCTCAGTACACAAGCCAGAGTCATCTCTGCGGCCTAGATGTTCCTACACAGGCTAGATCCTTCACCTCCTTCATCTCGTTGCTATCAGCCTCACTCTTCTCTAGCTATCTTGGTCTTTTTCCTATTCCTCAAGCATGCTAGGGACCTTCCACCTGCAGGACCTCTGTATTTGCTGTTTTCACTACCTGGAACATGCTTCTTCCCAAATAATTTGCTGACTTAACTAAGTCTTTCTATTATGTTTTTTCCTACAGAAGTATTTCCTAACCAACATATATAAAATAGGTCTATCCTCTCCATGTTGTGTCTTATCCTATTTTGTGTTATATCTTCTACAAAGCACTGATCACTATTTGATATATCTTTATTTATTGTGGTTAGTGTTTGTCTCTACCAAATAACCTGTAAGCTCCTCAAAACAGAGATTTCTGTGTTGTTTACTGCTGTAACTCCAGTGTCAAGAACAGTGTGTAATAATATTCAGTGAACATTCAATAAAATATTTGTGGAATAAAGTGAATGACTGTGTGACATCATTTTTTAATATGAAAAACACAGACAGAAATACTCAAAGAATTAGGGTCAGCATAAAGCCTTTATTGGCATGCTAGGAAGCATAAATGCCATTATTCTCAAGGGTACTGGGCAGAAGGCACATTGAGGACAACCCCTAGGTTTTCTGGAGTAGCAAGTTCACAATTGGTGGGATCATGCAAAGCCCTGTGTTCTTTGTGGCTGAATCTCCACTATCTGCTCCTAAAAACAAGACTGCCTCCTTTTTAACCAGCTCTCAAACTCATGTTGTCATGCCCTCCTGTTACTTTGTTTGAACAAAGCACTGGTTCTCTTGCCTTGTGAGGAACTCTTTCTTGGTTCTCAGTTCAAGCAGATCACTCCCGTTAGACTTTATCTGTGGTCCTTGAGAGGAGAGGATACTGTACAATGTCTGGTCTATAGCCAGTACCATTCTACATGTAAACACCACAGAAGGCAGTTTTCAGATTGAAAAGATGCCCCTCCCCTATCTTCAAGGTAGCCCTGACCCACTTGCGTACTAGGCTGGCTCTAGTGTTTCTGCATGTGTATGGCTCTGGATCCTAATACTGCTGTCTGACAACTACCAACCTATATTCCCCCATCCAACCCCCTCACAACACACTTTTGTCATTACTAATTTTATCAAAATGCTAATATACACAGCCATGTAGTATATCATTATAGACCACATTTTCTAGGTCAGTATCAGTTCAGTAACCATTAGCATGCTGAGTTAAATCATCTAATTAGATGAATAGTTATATAAAGTTTGACTACCTACTACGTTTTAGGCCTCCTGCTCTGCACTGACAACACCAAGTTGGATAAGATGTAATTAAGATATAACACCCTAATTTCAGTATCCAACAGTATGGTAACAGTGATGGACACAGTAGACCAAGAATCCCTACAGAAAAATTACAAATTTGAGGCCAACCTGGGATATGTAGCAAGTTCTAAATCATCAGCTACTATGCAGCAGCAGCAACAACATAAAAGTAACCATACTTTGAAGCAATGAAAGCATTCTTTAGTAGATAAGTGGATAAATAAACTATGGTATGGGTTAGAGAGATGGATCAGTGATTAAGAGGACTGACTGCCCTTCTAAAAGTCCTCAGTTCAATTTCCAGAAACCACATGGTAGCTCACAACCATCTGTAATGGGATCTGATGCCTTCTTCTGATGTGTAGGGACAGAGTGCTTATATAGATAAAGTAAATAAATATTTAAATAAAATATGGTGTTTTAGTCTGGGTTTCTATTCCTGCACAGACATCATGATCAAGAAGTCATAACCAGGAAGCATATTAAGCTTACACTTCCACATTGCTGTTCATCACCAGAGGAAGTCAGGACTGGAACTCACACAGGGCAGGAAGCAGGAGCTGATGCAGAGGCCATGGAGGGATGTTACTTACTGGCTTGCTTCATACATTTCAGTCATAGGACATGAAGAAATCAAGATGGTACCGACTCAGAAGCCCCATCCCTACTAATTAGTTTTCATAGTCCTGGAAGGTTCTACGTACACTGCTGGAGGAAGAAAGTAATCAACAGTCTTACCTAGCTGTGCTACAATGATCTCTGTGAGGTAAAATAACTACTGGCCTGCCCAGGATTTGCACAGTGGTCCCATAGTGGCATGAGCATCATAGGAGTAACCAAACAAACACTTTGTGAGTGAATTTAAGGCCTCATCCACAAGGTGGGATTCATCGCTGGGAAGGGGGTGGTGTGTGTGTGTGTGTGTGTCTGTGTGTGTGTGTGTGTGCGTGCGCGTGCGTGCGTGCATGAGAGAGGGAGAGAGAGAGAGAGAGAGAGAGAGATGAACAAAAAACAAGGTAACCTAAGTCCTGAGGCAGAACCCAATGCTAATCTCCTAGAACATAACAATAATCTTACAGGCATGCAACACCATCAGCCAGCTAAGAAGCATGTTTACCACACAAAAAAAGTTTGTAAGTATGGTCCTTATTCAAATCTAAAGGAAGAAAGTAAAAATAGGGGGAAGAAAAAAATTAGTGCCATAATGGTTATGATTTAAAGGGAAAGCTTCAGTAAATCTTTGAAACAACCCAGATATTCCTCAACACAAGAATGGATACAGAAAATGTAGTACATTTACACAGTGGAGTACTACTCAGCTATTAAAAACAATGACTTTGTGAAATTCACAGACAAATGGATGGAACTAGAAAATATCATCCTGAGTAAGGAAACCTAGTCACAAAAGAACACACATGGTATGTACTCACTGGTAAGTAGATATTTGCCCAAAAGCTCACAATGCCCATGATACAACCTATAGACCATATGGAACTTAGGAGGAAGGAAGACCAGGGTGTGGATGCTTCAATCGTCCATAGAGGGGGGAACAGGATGGCTGCGGGAGGTAGAGGGGGAACCTTGGAGGGAGAGAGGATGGGGAGGGAAAAGGGGGACAGGATCAGGTATTGGAGGGGACTAGAGAGAGGTACAGAGGGTTGGGAAATCGAATAAAAATATGTAGCAGTGAGGGATGACGAACTGGGGTAGCCACTGGAGAGGATCCCAGATGCCAGGCAAGCAAGAGGCTCCCAGGACCCAATGGGGATGACTTTAGCTGAAATGCACAGTGAACAGGTGATAGAATCTGTAGAGACCACCTCCAGTAGATAGGCACAGCCCCTGGTCAAGGGATGAGACCACCCATCCATCTCAAAGTTTTTAACCGAGAAATGTTCCTGTCCAAAGGAAAGATGGAGACAAAAAAATGGAGCAGAGAATAAAGGAAGGGCCATCCAGGGACTACCTCACCTGGAGATCTATTATGTCTGTAGACACCAAACCCTTACTGTTGCTGTTGCCAAGGGGCGCTTGCTGATGGGTACCTCATGTGGCTGTCCCCTGGGAAGTTCTGCCAGCACTTGACCAATGCAGATGTGGATGTTCCCAGCCAACCATCAGACTGAGCTCGGAGGCCCCAGTGGGGAAGCTAGGGGAAGGACTGGAGGAGCTGAGGGGGGTTGCAACCCCATTGAAAGAACAATGTCGACTGGCCAGATCACCCAGTGCTCCCAGGAACTAGACCACCAGCCAAGGAGTGTACATGGAGGGACTCATGGCTCCAGATATATATGCAGCAGAGGATGGCCTTGCCTGACAGCAATGGAAGGAGAGAAGCCCTTGGTCCTTGGAGGTTTGATGCCCCAGCATAGGGGGATGCTGGAGCAATGGGGTGGTAGTGGGTGGGTGGGAGAGCACCCTCAAAGAGGCAAAGGATGGGGGAGAGGGTGGATGGGATGGGGGTGTGGAGGGGAAACTGGGAAGGGGGATATCATTTGAGATGTGAATGAATGGAATGATTAAAAATTAATTAAATTTTTTGAAAGGAAAACAAGAGAGATTTAGTAATCTTTCTCAATATCCAGACTCATTACTAGATTGAGTCCTGAATGTTTAAGAAGTAGAATCCAAATCATGAGGGAGAAAGCAAACACTTATACACACAAATAATGATAGATTGAAAGAACCCTCGGTGACGAGTGGAAAATGAAATCAGAAGAAAAAAATTATCAGAGTAGCTGGGAAGGTAAGGGCTGCTGCGCAGCTGAGTGTACTCTATGGACCATGTGCTGCTATGGATGCCTGAAGTACATGACCTGCAGGTTGGGAAGACTCAGCCATCTCCATGCTGGGCTGGATTAAGTGCCTGATGAGGATGTGGTTTCAGCAAGTTGGGGTCAGCATGCAGTCGGCACTGTGGTCTGGAAAACCATATGGTTCATCTTGAAGTATTGTAAGGAAAATTGGTACCAACTTATCTCTGATTCAGTGTCCAAGAGTTCAATTTCAGCTTACTAGCCACGCAACAGAATGGAGTCCCACACACTCAGGAGAGGATGTGGTGGCATCTTTTGCTGATGTTGGATGGGTAGCCTCTGAAGAAGGAGAGTGCTCAACAAGACTCAGGGCAGAGGTCAGGTCCAAGCCTCCTCTTGAGGATGACCCTCCTTACTTTGAGAAGCCCCCAAGCAGGCACATTTCCTTACCAAACTTGTCTCAAGACAAGCCTTCTCCAAAAATGACACTAGCCAGTGAGGAGGCTTTGCAGAAGATCTCTGCACTTGAGAATGAGCTTGCTGCCCTTAGAGCTCAGATTGCCAAGATTGTGACCCTGCAGGAGCAACAGAGTCCAAGTGCAGGTTGCTTAGATTCTTCCACATCTGTTACTGCAGCACCCCCTCCCCCTCCCCCGCTCCCTCCATTGGTGCTCCACCAAAGTACGTCTGCTCTTGATCTGATTAAAGAACGAAGAGAGCAAAGACTCAGTGCTGGAAAGACTTTGGGTAAGGGCCACCCAAAGAAGCCTGACATGCCAAACATGCTAGAGATCCTTAAAGACATGAACAGTGTGAAGCTACGGTCAGTCAAGAGGTCAGAGAAAGATGTAAAACCTAGGCCAGTGGATACTACTGACCCTGCTGCCCTCATAGCAGAGGCACTGAAAAAGAAGTTTGCATATCAACAGTGGCACAATAGCCAAGGAGAAGCTGAGAGAGGAATTCCAAAGCCAGAGTCAGAAGCCACTTAAGAGCCAGCCCTGTTTGGCCCACACATATTGAAGTCTACAGGGAAAATGAAGGCTTTAATTGAAAATGTTCCAGATTGCTAATGGGCAACAAATTCAGAAAGACTCCTGGTTCACCTGTTGGCTTGCAGAGCTGAGTTTGGCTAGTAGAAATCACCAGTATTTAATAAATTCCTGACTGTAGTGTTCATTGGTCTCCTTCTTAGCCTAATTAGAGGAGTAAGAAGTAGTGAAAGCACCAGAAGCTGGTTTGGAGATGGTCAGTTCTGGAGCTCTCCTTAACACACATGTATCATGTGCATTTTCAGTTCTTAACACTAAAGTCTGTGCAAAAGTTTTATATGCACACATTTGGATACAAAAAGATGTAAAGCTCACAATGAATGGCATCAGTGAGGACACTGTTATCTTCCTCTTCATTGAGAGTTTACTAGTCAGCAATGAACAGCTGGTATACTGTTATCATAGCACACTATTGGAGCTGGGAATTCCTCGGACAGGACTTGAGTATGTTTTTACTTTCTGTTTTCTGGAGCTGAGTTTACATAAACAGCAGAAGATGTTTACTGCTGAGTCTCTGTATTGCTTTCTCTTAGAGGGAAGTGAGGACCAGGAAGGCTGTTTAAATGTCATTACCACTCAATACTAGGAAGCAAATGTACTTCTCAAGTAGTAACAAATCAAATTATTGAATTAAATAATTTCTTAAATAAAAGCCAGAATGTATCATCTTTCTTATCAGTTTAATAAGTGGCCTCATAAAGATGATTTATTACTAAGTTAAGAATTGTCTTAGTTAAGGTTGCTATCACTGTGATGAAACACCATGGCCAAAAGCAGTTGGGGAGGGGGATGAATTATTTCACTCACAGTTCCATATAACAGTTCATTGTCACAAGCAGTGAGGACAGGAACTAAGCAGGGCGGGAACCTGGAGCCAGGAGCTGATGCAAAGGCTACGGAGGGTGCTGCTTACTGACTTACTTCTCATGGCTTGCTCGGCCTGCTTTCTTATAGAACCCAGGACCACCAGCCCAGGGATGGAACCACCCACAATGGGCTGGGGCCTACCCCATCAATCACTAATTAAGAGAATGCCTTACAGCCAGAACTTATGGAGGCATTTTCTCAATTGAGGTTCACTTCTTTTTAGATGACTCTAGCTGTGTCAAGCTGACAAACTAGCCAGCACAATACTTCTAGAAATATCAGCATAATTGAATTTATAATTTTGAAATATTGATCAAAACATCCTTCATAATGAAACATTATTGAATAGGTGAATAAATTCCCTTTAAGCTATTTATTATTGGCCAGCCAATGAATTACATTATGCAGATAAACCTTAGGTGTTATTAGAAAGTAGAAAACTGCCTTTATTATCTAGGGCTTGGAAGGACTTGTTATAATCTAAAGTACTTAGTAGTTTTCATGATTTTTGTGTTTCTGATAGATTCTTTAATGTCAGAATCTCTTACCATGAGTAAATACTTGGATTATTTAAATCTAGACTAGTGGTTCTTCCGAGAAGAATTTAAAGATGGGAAATATAGATAATATTTTAAGTTATTGAAAATAGGTGTTCTAAATCATAACAAAGATTGGGCTATTTTTCATAGCTTACTTAGTTTAAATTGTGATATGTTTTTGCTGTATATTGTTTCTAAATATTTTATATGGTTTGAAAACTGTCTCTTATGACATTCAGAAAAATTTCCTGACCACATATTTTGACCTAAGAAATTTATATTCATATCAGTATTGAATTTGGCTAGCATTCTACGATATGAAAGTTACTATTTTAAAATAAAGCAAGCTGTTGAATTTTCTTTTAACGAGAAAAAAAGAAAAAAAGAAAAAAATTATCATATTAGATTGAGCCCAGACTTTTTTGTGGCATTTTAACCATTTTTTATTCTACAACTACATGACAATAGTTATATTTTTAAAAGTTTTTCAGCCATCTCTAAACTTTTCATCAGCCCAAACAGAAACTGTATGTACCAAGTAATCCATCGTATTCCCAGCCTCTGTAACCTCTAGTCTAGTTTTCATTTTTTTGTAAATATGCAAGTTCAAATAATATCATTTAAAATAAATCACGAAATTCCTGTCCTTTTGTACCAGTATTATTTCATTTAGAATGTTTTTAAGGTTCATCTATGACAGACCCACCTCTCCTGGACTCCTCAAGTGTGATGTTAAGCATCGATAAATACTAATAATACTATTTAAATACTATTAGAATTGTTGATTCTTCCATTAAATCGTCCCTTTAAAAAACCTTCATGTTTAATGTTTTGTGACTTGTTAACAGTTTCGAAATCAGGCTTTTAAAAGAGACCTTTCCTTCTCTTATACCTGATATCAGAGTCAACCAAACCCTTGCCTCAGCCTCCTTGCTTTGAACACTACATGAATGCCTAGAGGAACCTACACTGTAACCACAGATACTTGCTATGGAAGGACAACTCCAGCCCCAGAAGGCACCACTCTGACCAACGGCTTTCAAATGCCTTGTGCTGGTTTATTATTAATATCATTATTATCATCATCACAAACCTTAGTGAACTCCAGAAGTTATCTTCACATATGCCAGAGAGGGAGCGCCCACCATCTCTTCTATGTGTCCCCCAACAGGCCTGTGATTGATTGACACCACACCCGCTCTGTGCTTATTGCAAACTGTGTGGCTCATTTCTCAAATATCTGGGAGAAGAAACCTTCCTGTGCTGTCCCCCTAGTGTTGCAACATTAAAAAAAGTGGTATATTGTTTTGGATCTTTATCATTAGAAGACAGACCAAAGTAGTAGCATGACGAGGAGACAGTAGAAGGAAGAGGCCGGAGAGTCATAACAGTGGCAAAGCAATATCAGTAGTTAGTAACAGGACAGCTGAAGAATTTCAGAATGGCTTGGAACAGAAAAACGATAGGAGGGACAGAAGAGATGAAGAAGACAGAGTGGAAGTATAGAAGTGATTGAAAGGCCAGGCAGTGGTGGCGCAGGAATGCCAGAGGTGACAAGCCGTGGGTCTCAATCACTAAAACAGTGCAAGGGAGCAGCTAAACTTTAACACCCTAGGCCTGAAATCCATAACACTGGACTGTAGGAGCTGAGGGCCCTAGCACCCACCCAGGAACTAAAAATAGCACGTGTGTTGCTTTTGGAAGTTGAGGAAAATAGCTGGCAAGTACCAGGGTTGGTGGTGGTCAAAGCCCAGAATAAAAAGCCCCACATTCGAAAACCAAGAACTATAAACCTTTAGCTTCCAAAACTAGGAACAGTATGCATGTTAGATCCCAGACATTGACACTATATCTATCTGGTATACGATCCTACTGGTCCATCTCCTAGGCTTTGGGCATTTAAAGGCCCAGACCTGTCAACACTAGAATTTCTCAGCTACTCACAATGTCTATCCGGATAGACCAAATGGACCCAGTGAGCTGATTAATAGTGCATCCATCTTATGATATGTGCCTGAATTCCATTCCCCATTCCTCTTTATGCCTGAGCAATATTCCAGCATTTGTTTAACCACGTTTTGTTTACATTTGTCTGTTGATACACAAGTGGTTTTCTCCTTTTGGCTATTGTGTATAATGCTGCAATGAACATTAATGTAAAGCTATTTGTGTTACTCTTTTCAGTTATTTTATTTTTTTGGTTTGGTTTTTTGAGACAGAGTTTCTCTGTGTAGCCCTGGCTGTCCTGGAACTCACTCTGTAGACCAGGCTGGCCTCGAACTCAGAAATCCACCTGCCTCTGCCTCCTAAGTGCTGGGATTAAAGGCGTGCGCCACCACCACCCGGCTTCAGTTATTTTAAGTGTGTACTGCGGACTAGAATTATTCTCTGATGCACTGGTTGCCCATTTTATATACCCACTAACAATCTCTATATCATCTCCAGTACTTACTATATTCTGGTTTTTAAATTTTATTATAACCATGCAAGGCAAGCACATGCTCATAATAATTCCATCACTTGAAAGAGGATCACATGTTCAAGGCCAGCCTGAGCTACACAGTGAAACCCTGTTTCAAAAAAAAAAAAAAAGCATATTAGGAGAAATGGCTCAATAGTGGAGAGCACTGACTGCTCTTCCAGAGGACCCAGGTTCAATTCCCAGCACCCACACGACAGCTCACAGCTGTCTGTAACTCCAATATCTGACACCCTCACACAGACATACATGCAAGCAAAACACCAAAGCACATAAAACTTAAAAAAGTAATTATTCAACCCTGAGATTCCTCCTCACACCAGTCAGAATGGCTAAGATTAAAAACTCAGGTGATAGTAGATGCTGGCAAGGGTGTGGAGAAAGAGGAACACTCCTCCATTGTTGGTGGGACTGCAAGATGGTGCAACCACTTTGGAAATCAGTGTGGCGGTTCCTCAGAAAATTGGACATAGTATTACCTGAGGATCCAGCTATACCACTCCTAGGCATATACCCAGAAGATGCTCGAACATATAACAAGGACATCTGCTACACTATGCTCATAGCAGCCTTATTTATAATAGCCAGAAGCTGGAAAGAACTCAAATGTCCTTCAACAGAGGAATGGATACAGAAAATGTGATACATTTACACAATGGAGTATTACTCAGCTATTAAAAACAATGAATTCATGAAATTCTTAGGCAAATGGATGGAACTAGAAAATATTATCCTGAGTGAGGTAACCCAACCACAAAAGAACACACATGGTATTCACTCACTGATTATTGGATATTAGCCCAGAAGCTTGAAATACCCAAGTTTCAACTCACAGACCACATGAAGCTCATGAAGAAGGAAGACCAAAGTGTGGGTGCTTTGGTCCTTCTTAGAAGGAGTAACAAAATATTCAAGGGAGCAAATATGGAGACAAAGTGTGGGACAGAAACTGAAGGAGGGGCCGTCTGGAGACCATTCCTCCTGGGTATCCATCCCATGTGCAGTCACCAAAGGTAGATGCTGATGTGGATGCCAGGAAGTGCATGCTGACAGGA